TTTTGGTTTCATTAATCTTTTGTTTCTTTTTTTTTTTCATTTTGATTTCAATTATTTCTGCTTTGATTTTTAGTATTTCCTTTCTTCTACTGGTTTTGGGGTTTTTCTGTTGTTATTTTTCTAGTTCTTTGAGATATGTGATTAGTTTGTTTCTTTCAGTTATTTCTTTTTTTGTTGATGTGAGCCTGTATTGCTATATATTTCCCTCTTATTACTGTTTTTGCTGTATCCCACACATTTAGGAAATTCGTGTCCTCCTTGTATTCAACTCAAATTATTTTTTTTTTAATTTCTTCTTTGATCTCCTCATTAGTCCAGTGGTCTTCCAGTAATATGGGTTTCAGTCCATGAAGTAGAAGGGTTCCTTGCCTTCTTTTTATGTTTTATTTCTAGTTTGATTCCTTTATGGTCAGAGAAGATGGTTGGTATGATTTTAATCTTGGAGTATCTGTTGATGTTTGTCTTGTGTCCCAGTGTGAGATGGATCCTGGATAATGATCTGTGTGCACCTGAGAAAAAATGTGTACTCAGATTTTTTTTTTGGGGGTTTAGTGTTCTATAGATGTCTGTTAAGCACATGAGCTCTAGATCCTTATTTAGAGCTTTAGTGTCCTTACTTATTTTTTGTCGTATTGATCTATCCATTGTTGATAGTGGTGTGCTGAAGTCTCCTACTACATACATGTTTTCTCTGATGTTGTTTTTCAGAGATGATAATAGTTGTCTGATATATTTTGGTGCCCCTTCATTTGGTGAGTATATGTTAATGAGTGTTATTTCTTCTTGAAGTATTGTCCCCTTGATCATGATGCAATGAACTTCTGGGCCTTTTTTTTTTTGACCTTTTTGAGTTTGAAATCTGTTTTATCTGATATACGTATAGCTGTTCTTACCTTCTTTTTTGGTCCATTTGCTTGTAGGATTGTTTTCCATCCTTTTACTTTCAGTCTATTTTTATCTTTTTGTAGCTAAATGTGTTTCCTGCAGACAGCAAAGGGTTGGGTCTTGTTTCTTAATCCAGCCTGCGACTGTGTCTTTTTATTGAAGAGTTTAGTCCATTTACATTTAGAGTTAATATTGATATGTTAGTGTCTGTATTTCCATTTTGTTTGCTTTTCTCTGGTTTTATTTATTTTTTAATTTTTTTTGGTCTTGTTTCATTCTTATTCATCCCTCTGTTGGTTCTGGCTTTAGGACTACTTGTAGTATTTTTTGGAGTGGGTGTTTAGTCGTAATGAAATTCCAGAATTTCGGTTTTTCTGAGAAGGTCTTTATTCTTTCTTCATAAAGGAAGGAAAGCTTTGCAGGTTAGAGTATTCGTGGTTGGCATTTGTTGTCTTGGAGCTTGTTGACTATGTCCCTCCACTCTCTCCTTGCCCGTAGTGTTTCTTCAGAGAAGTCTGATGTCAGCCTGATTGGTTTTCCTTTGTACGTTATGTGTTTCTTCCCTCTTGTCAGCATCATTATTTTTTCCTTGTGTCAGATTCTTGGGAGCTTTACTATTATGTCTTGCTCAATTTTTCCTTTCATCAAGGAAGTTTGTTGTTATTTTTGCTTTTTCTGCATCTATTTCAGCTCCTTCTTCATGTTTGGGAAGTTCTCTTCAATTATTTCCTTGAATATTTTCTCTGTTCCTATGTCTCTCTCCTCTCCTTCTGGGATTCCTATAACTCTTATATTTCCTTTCCTCATGGAGTCAGATAGTTCCCGAAGTATTTCTTCATTCTTTTTCCTTTGTACTTCTCTTTCCTTTTCTGTTTTGAATCTTTATATTTCTGGGTCTTCTAGAGTGCTTATTCGTTCTTCCATTTCACCTATTCTGCTTTCACTGCTTTTCCCAGAGTTCTTTAGCTCCTCCATTAATCCTTTGATCTCCTGCATTTCTTTCACACCCTTCTTTAGGGACTCAATTTCATTCTTCTGATCATTGATTATTTTTTTCCATTATCATTGTTTTATGACTTATTTCAGTTTTTTAATCATGGCAATTTTTTAAAATTTTTTAATAATAAATTTTATTTTTATATTCCCCATACAATTGCAACCCCCCCATTCTGACCCCGATCCCTCCCCTCCCGCCCCCACCCCAAAAAAGTGTCTCTGGTTCATAGTTTTTTGTTGATTTTAATTTTCACTTTCTTGTAGTTATTCATTTTCCTGGTCCCTTATTTAAGTTTTCTAGATTCCTGCTATGTTTGAGACCATCCAGTAGTTTTCTTTTTCTTTCTGGCTTATTTCGCTGAGCATGATCCCTTCCAGTGCCATCCATGTTGCTGCAAATTGCATGTGTTTATCTTTTTTGAATGCTGAGTAATATTCCATGGTATATATGTACCACATCATCTTGATCCAGTCATCTATTTTTGGGCATTTGGGCTGTTTCCAAAGCTTAGCTATGGCAATTTTAAATTCTGTATCTGGAAGACTCAGAAGTTCTTCCAAGTCACTGTTGTTGCAATCTGGTAGGTGATTTTCTTTATTTGCTGTGTCTTTTCCCTGAGGACTTGCTTGGTTGCTTGTAGTTTTTCTTCTCCCTGCTGCTTGTTTTCTAATTTGCCCTATGTGTTGGGACACTCGAAAACTGGTGGTCCAGTCGAGTCAAAAACTGTTATAGAATTCCAGTAGGGCAGTGGTACTATGAATATGTTAGTGGTTGCTGTCACAGAAAATATCCTCCTTCTGTATTTGTTTAATTCCAGAGGTGGGTCTTGCAGTCCCACAGACTGCCCTGGCCATGGCTGAATCACCCACTGGGCTCCGACTGGCTGTGAGTCAAGGGCCTGGCTTCTGGGGTTTTCCAGCTCACCTCTGGCTATGGGGGCAGTTCTTTCCCAGTTCCACACAGTCTAGATGGATTCCAGATGCAAAGATACCTGGTCTAAAATGGTGAGTCAGGAGGGCATTTCCCTGAGCCCATGGTCTAGAAATTAACAGTTTTAATTCATACAATCTTGTAATTCATACAATATTTTATTAAGGTGACTATTTTAATTATGTTGTACAAAAATGGCAAAAAATTGTTGGCAATGAATAGTCTCAGCATATGTTTTATAATGGTCTGATTGAGCTTCTTAATTCAATACATATATTACATACTTATTATATCCCATAACTTTCATTGATGGGAAAATGATAACAGTATCAACAATTAATGTTAACAAAGTTATTTATCAACAGAAAACATAAAAGTGCCAATCATTTGAACACTTTATAGTATAGCAAGTTGTCAGCCCAGAAGTTCAAAGATCAAGATTCTGCCACTTCTTCTACTGTCCCTGGCTGGTCTCCAGATTTCCCTTGTGCCACATGGGACTCTCCTGGGCTGGAGGCAAGGTCAGCCTGACTCACTCCTCACAGGGCAAACTGTTTGAGAGTGACCGAATGCCTGGTATCCAATTGGAACTACATTTTATTATGAAATATTTGGTGTGAACTTTTCAAAAATCAAGCATCACAGACAGGAAAGCAAAGGTCGATGCAGTCAGCAGAGAGGAGCTGAGGCCAGACAGCAGCCACACCCATGGGCATTTCACTTCCCCAAATTATATCTTCTTCAAATCCTTTTAATCTTTATGTCTACACTACATAATAGTATTATTTCATTGTACACTAATCTGATGAGCTTTCTCATTTGAATATATCCATAGAAACACAGACACTCTGGCTCAGAATCCCATGAGGTGCCCACAGGACTTGTCCCCAAATTCCCAAGCACCCAGGTAACTAATAGATGGGGACAAACTTGTGTAAGTGTGGGGTGATGCTGTGGTGCCATTCCTCAGCGATTTCTGGAAATATTAGAATTGATGTAGGTTACTCTTTTAATTTTGCTTTGATAAATATAAATTGTTAATTTCTCTTATATGTTCCCAAAAATTTGTATGCTTTACATTTTTGTAATATTTAAACATTATTTAAAATATTTTAATATTTTAATGTTTAATATTTTTAAATATTGATGGGTAAATTATAACAGTATCAACAATTAATGTTAGCAAAGTTATACAGAAAATATAAAATGGCCAATCATTTGAACACTTTATAATGTAGCAAGTTGTCAGCCCACAAGTTCAAAGATCAGGATTCTGCCACCTCGTCTACAGTCCCTGTCTGATCTCCAAATTTCAATATTTAATATTTTAATATTTAAAATATTAAAATTATTATTTAAAATATTAATATTTTAAATTTTTATCTAAATATTTAAAATTTTAACTAAAAATTTTATTTAAAAGTTTATTTAAAAGTTTATTGTATAAAATACTAAGATTTTAATAATATTTAAGATAAATATTTTAGATAATATTTGAATTTAAATATTATCTAAATATTTTTGAATTTATTATTTCAAATATTTAAAATATTGTTGTAATATTTTAGTAACCATACTGCACAGGAAATTAATGTTCTTATTTCTAAGTGTTTTTATGGTAAATGCCAGCAGCACCCACACCAGTGCTTCCAGGAGTGTCTCTACCACGTCACTTGTGGTCCTTATTGACAGTAGATGGTGACTATTCAGATTCTTACTTGTACCCTAAGGCCTTGTTGATGTTATGAAGGCCTCACTCACTAAGAACAGGGGCCTTGGCCCCAACAGTGGCCCCTGGTCCCACAAGTGACCGAGAAAATCAGTGACATTAGAAGGGAAGCCGCCTTAGAGACTCGAGATGCTGCCCCAGTGAGAGAACTGCTGACAACTGAGATGAAGCCCAACCATCACCTTTCAGCTGGGAGCTATAGAAATGGAAACCAGCAAAGAGTGGTTGGAAGTTCAGTTCCCTCCAGTATACACAGAATATCAAAGTGCACATAAGGGTTAAAAAGAGGAAAAATCAATGCTAATAGAGCATATGAGTAGCAGACCATCCTGGCCATCTTAGACACAAGGTAATGTGAGGATATATGTTGCTTATATAATTGTAAAAACATAAAAGGCAGTATAATGTGAAAATTTAAAATAAGTCTCTCATAAAGGGGACATGAAGTCATCTTCTCTATTACATTTTAGTGTGTCTCCTCTTCATCAGTCCCCCCACAGCGGATTTCATGGCTTCATTCCTCAGACTGTATATGACAGGATTAAAGGTGGGGGGCACCATTGTGTAGAACATAGAAATGACCAGGTCAGACATGGACGGGGTCCCTAAGGTTGGCTTCAGATGAGCAAAGAATCCAGTGAAGAGAAACAGCACCACAACCAGCAGGTGGGGAAGGCAGGTGGAGTAGACTTTGGCCTTCCCTTCTGTGGATGGGATCTTCCTGACAGCAGAGAAGATGTGCACATAGGAAATAATGATGAAAATAAAACAGCACAAATCCGTCACTGAACTGATGTGAATTAGGACAAGTTCACTCATTAAATTTTCTGAGCAGGAAATTGCTAATAAATGGGGGAAGTCACAGAAGAACTGGTGGACCCCGTTGGACCCACAGTAGGACAAGGAGAAGGTTCCAGCTGTGTTCATCACAGCCAATATACCCCCAACCAGCCAGGACACAGCTGTCAGCTGCACACACCTGTCCCTGCTCATGAGGACCTCATAGTGCAAGGGGTGGCAGATGGCAGCATAGCGGTCAAGGCTCATCATCGTGAGAAGGTGAAGCTCCGCAGTTGCTGAAATAATCATCATGAAGACCTGGACAACACAGCCCGGGAAGGAGATGGAGCTGCTGTGCCTCAGAGAGTTGACAATGGACTTGGGGACTATGGTTGAGATGAGGCAGAGGTCAGTGAAGGATAGACTTCTCAGGAAGAAGTACATGGGGGTGTGGAGTTGCCGGTCCACGGTGGTGATGAGGACGATGAGCCCATTCCACAGAAGGGCACACAGGTAGACCAGGGAGAAGAGCAATGGGTGCAAGAAGCCCATGGTTCCCTGTGTGGGGAACCCCAGGGGGACGAATACTCTTACGATGGTGAGATTGATCACCCCTGGAGCCGTCATCTGTGTAATAAATGTGGAGAGGAAGAAATCACCGCCGCCCCATCTCCGCAGGCTGAATATAACTGGGCTTCTCATACTACTATCACACTAGCTTCTCACCAACCACACCCCTGGTGCTCCCGTGTCTCCACCTCTAGTCATTCTCTGAGTACTGTGTCCTGACAAACTACTATATTTCCAGTTCTTCTGAAAGAGATTTGTGATGTTGTCCAAACAGCTCATGTTAGAAACACTGAGATTGGACACTTCCCCTTCCCCTCAGAAACCACCAGACTATCCTCCCACATCTCTGCATAACCTGCCCAGCATCGCTGTTAATCCTGTTGCTCCCACTCCCTCAGCCCCTCAGGATCCCAGGTTAGGCCTGTCCAGAGCTGAAGCCACATCTGAGGAGGAACTCACCGAACCTTCTCCTTCCCCCTAGAACACTTCAATCCATGTCCTGCTCTTGAGACACTCACTGTAGAGACCTCCAACTTCTGCACTCATGTCGAGGACTCAGTAGACACTTGGCAGCCATGTGGGTCTGCTAGACTTAAAGGGCCTGATGGGCCACCATCTGGGGTGCATGGAGCTCTGCCCTCCAATACGAGGGCAGAACAGCATGGTCAGTTATGTGACCTAAAAGAGTGGAAAACACCAGACACTTCTGATTCCTTTGAAATTAAGCAAGAGCAGGAGATGATCACACGGAGAAAGGGCTACATCGGGAGGTATGACGGGAAAGCCGGGCCCCAGAGACTGGGCAGTGGGACACCTTGTCGATAAGACTGGAAACATGGTGGGCTTGGGGTCTGGTTTCCATTGCACCAGTTTGTGGAGTAGAAAAAATATCTGGTCAAAGACTCATGTCCCCCTGAAGCCCTCGGTGAGTAAACACATTTTCAGTGTCACCCCCTTTGTCTCCAACGGGTGCTGTGGGATGACGCTACCACTGCACAGGCGGGATCTGCTCTTTCCCCAGCATCCTGCTCTTAAGGGTGGCTGCACGACCCCCACTGGTCACCCAAATGCCACGCAGTCACCAGCACATACACAAATGCTTATGAAAGGAGTCGTCTTAACATCCACTTCCTGTGATGATGCTTCTCCGGTCACTGGACACCACACTCCTCCTCTGTGAGCCCTGGCTGTGGGCACCAAGACACCAGCTTGTCACGGTGTGATTTCCCATTGAAAGACCTTCCTCCCATCTCTAGTGTCTCCCATAGAGTCTCCTGCTGGGTCACACCAAAACATCCCTCCTGCAGGATGGGCTCATCCACCCCGGGTCCCTCCCGGCCCCTCTGTCCCCCTCAGACTCATGCACATCTGCGCAGGGAGGAGACAGCTCCGGGGCTGAGCCGGATGGTCTCTGCATGTGGCTGTCCTGCTGGTCCCAGGGTCCCGGGTCCCCGGGGGCGGGTTTGTTCCTCCCCCAGGCCTGTGCGTGAGAGGGGATGCCTGGACACGGGGCAGCCCTGCCCTCTTTCTCTCCCCCCCAATCTCACCTTCTCCCCCCTCTGTTGGGTGAGGGAGGGGCAGGCCCTGGTGAGGCAGGACTTTTAGGAGAATGCGATGATAAGAAATAACTGTGAAAGGTTCGTGGAAATGACCCAGATGTTTGAAGAACAAAAGATATCAGTTTAGGACACGCCTTCATCAGGGGCCTGGGATTCCTCTGAGTGACATAAAACATAAACGTCTCATGACAAATTTAGCCGTGACACATCTCCTCCCCTGGCCCTGATCAGATACTGGGACTCCTGCACGCCACAGTGTCAGGGAGTGATGAGGTCAGATCACCCCTAAACATGTGTCCAGTAATGGAAACAGTCGCGGTTGCTGGGACTACATCAAATTAAAGAGCTTCTGCACAGCAAAAGAGACAATAACAAAAACAAAGAGAAACCCCACCAACTGGGAGCACATTTTTGCACCCAACACTAATGATAAAGGACTGATCTCAAAAATCTGCAAAGAGCTGATGAGACTCAGCAACAACAAAGAAAATAATCCAGTCAAAAAATGGGCAGAAGAGCTAAAAAGAAACTTCTCTGAAGAGGAAATGCAAATGGCCAACAGACATATGAAAAAATGTTCAACATCACTTGTAATCAGGGAAATGCAAATCAAAACTACCATGAGATACCATCTCACACCAGTGAGAATGGCACATATTAAAAAAACTAGCAACAACAAATGTTGGCGAGGATGTGGAGAAAAAGGAACTCTTCTGCACTGTTGGTGGGAGTGCAAACTGGTCCAACCACTATGGAGAGCTGTGTGGAGATTTCTGGACCTACTAAACATAGAGCTTCCATATGATCCAGCAATTCCACTCCTAGGTATTTACCCAAAGGACACAGAAACATCAATTCCAAAGAACACCTGCACCCCTATGTTTATAGCAGCACTGTTTACAATAGCTAAGCTTTGGAAACAACCCAAATGCCCAAAAATAGATGACTGGATCAAGAAGATGTGGTACATATATACCATGGAATATTACTCAGCATTCAAAAAAGATAAACACATGCAATTTGCAGCAACATGGATGGCGCTGGAAGGGATCATGCTCAGCGAATTAAGGCAAAAAGAAAAAGAAAAATACCGGATGGTCTCACTCATAGCAGGAATCTAGAAAACTTAAATAAGGGGCCAGGAAAATGAATATAAGAAAGTGAAAATCAAAATCAACAAAAAACTATGAACCAGAGACACTTTTTGGGGGGTGGGGGACGGGAGGGGAAGGGTTGGGGTCAGAATGGGGCGTTTGCAATTGTGTGGGGGAATATAAAAATAAAATTTAATATTAAAAAAAACAAAAAAACAAAAAAATAAAAAAAATAAAATATATAATTCAGTAAAAATAAAAAAAAAATATTTAAAAAAATAAAAATAAAATAAAAAAAAAGATCTGGAAGACAAGGATGTCCACTCTCACCACTGCTTTTCAATATAATAGTGGAAGTCCTAGCCAGAGCAATAAGACAAGACAAAGACACACAAGGAATCCAAATAGGAAAAGAAGAAGTCAAACTATCACTATTTGACGATGATATGATAATATACTAGAGAACCCCAGAAACTCCACAGAAAAAAACTAATTCAACTCATCAATCAGTTCAGTAAAGTGGCAGGATACAAAATCAACACACAAAAGTCAGTAGCCTTCCAATACACAAAAAATAAATCTGAAGAAGAAATCAAAAATCCATACCTTTTATTATCGAAACAAAATGAAATCAAATACTTGGAAATAATTCTAACAAAAGAGGTAAAGGACCCCTACAAAGAAAACTATAAACCACTGTTAAAAGAAATAGAAGAAGACACAAAGAAATGGAAAGACATCACCTGCTCATGGATTGGAAGAATAAACATTAATAAAATTACCATCCTACCAAAAGCAATCTACAGATTCAATGCTATTCCAATAAAAATCTCAATGTCATTCTTCAAAGAAATAGAACAATTATTGATGAAATTCATATGGAATCACAAAAAAACACGAATAGCCAAAGCTCTCCTGAACAAAAAAAAAAAGGGAATAGAGGCATCACACTCTCAGACTTCAAACTATACTACAAAGCCATAATCATCAAAACTGCATAGTATTGGAACATGAACAGACACACAGACCAATGGAATCAAATAAAAAATCCAGAAATAAAACCACAGATTTATGGTCAACTAATCTTTGACAAAGGGGCAAAGAACATGCATTGGAGCAAGGAAAGTTTGTTCAATAAACAGTGATGGGAATAACGGGTGGCTACATGCAAAAGAATGAAGCTTGACTACTACCTCACACCATGCACAAAAACCAACTCAAAATGGATTAAAGAACTAGACATAAGACCTGAAACCATAAAATACATAGAAGGAAATATAGGTAAAACACTACATGACTTCCACATCAAAGACATCTTTACAGACACATCACCCAAAGCAGTGATAGTGAAGGCAAAGATCAACAGCTGTGACTACTTCAAATTAAAGAGTTTCTGCACAAGAAAAGAGACAATAACAAAAAGAAAGAGGGAATCCCACAGATTGGGAGGACATTTTTGCATACATCACTAATGATAAAGCATTGATCAAAAAAATCTACAAATAGCTGATGAGACTCAACAAAAACAAAGAAAATAATCCTGTCAAAAAATGGGCAGAAGAGCTAAAAAGAAACTTCTCTGAAGATGAAATGCAAATGGCCAACAGGCATACGAAAAAATGTTCAACATCACTTGTAATCAGGGAAATGCAAATCAAAATTACAATGAGATACCATCTTACACCAGTGAGAATGGCACATATAAAAAAAAAAAAAAAAAAAAAAAAAAACTAGCGACAACAAATGTTGGCGAGGATGTGGAGAAAAAGGAACTCTCCTGCACTGCTGGTGGAAGTGCAAACTGATCCAACCACTATGGAGAGCTGTGCGGAGATTTCTGGACCTACAAAACATAGAGCTTCCATATGATCCAGCAATTCCACTCCTAGGTATTTACCCAAAGAACACAGAAACATCAATTCCAAAGAACACCTGCACCCCTATGTTTATAGCAGTATTGTTTACAATAGCTAAGCTTTGGAAACAACCCAAATGCCCAAAAAAGATGACTGGATCAAGGAAATGTGGTACATATACACCATGGAATATTACTCAGCATTCAAAAAAGATAAACACATGCAATTTGCAGCAACATGGATGGTGCTGGAAGGGATCATGCTCAGCGAAATAAGCCAGAAAGAAAAAGAAAAATACCGGATGGTCTCACTCATAGCAGGAATCTAGAAAACTTAAGTAAGGGACCAGGAAAATGAATAACTATAAGAAAGTGAAAATCAAAATCAACAAAATCTATGAACCATAGACACTCTATGGGGGGTTGTGGGAAGGGAGGGGAGGAATTGGGGTCAAAATAAGGGGATCACAATTTTATGGGGAATATAAAAATAAAATTTATTGAAAAAAGAACTTTGCTCATATGTATATGGAACCACAAAGACCCCAA